TTTAAAATTTAAATTTAAAATTGTAATTTATATTATGAATAATGCTAAATTAATTATTTTTTATTTTTTATTTTAAAGTTCATAATATTATAAATTGTATGGATTTATAGTTAGTGCTTTCATAAAATTATTTAATACTTTGTAATATAATTTTTATTTATATTTTTATTATTTTATCATAAGTTTTGGTATTTCAAATTACTTTCAGTGATATAATAATTTGATGTTTTGAACTTTTGTCACAACTTTGAGTATTTTATAATCGTAAGACTATTTTTAGATTATTAAATTACTAAGATATTTTTTATTTATCCCTGTTACTTAATCAACAACATTTTGTATGTTTAATTTATTTACACAATTTTTAAATTTAAAGCAAAAAGATATGTTTATTAATTGTCGAAACTATTATAATGATAAATCTTAAATATATTCATCCCAATTAAAACGGTTAGTATTTTCATTAGAAATAATTTATGAAGTTCAATAATATATTTTCTATAACACTGTACACTATTATGGAAAATAATGAAATTATTATTAGTAAATTTATAAACTCAATTTAACTTCTAGAGTTTGATATGGAGGACATATTTAAAATCCCTGCAATTTTAAAAGTACAAAAAGTAAAATACTACAATAACCTTCAAAAGGATTTCAAACAAAGTAGAAGAAAATGCACTATTGCATTATAAAGAAAGAATGCTGAAATGCTAAATTAAAAAATGGAAGCATATGATAAAAAGCAAAAGAAGATACTATATGGCTATATAAAAATAGAGTCAATAAAAACAGGTACGATTAGCATTAGGAAGATCCCTAATTACAGTTTTCTTTGATTAAAAGAGATACTACAATGTGAAATTCAAGATTCATGGTGGAGAACACATGAACAGAGATCATCTTATTGAACATATGAATACTTAATGCCCAATAAGAGAAGAGTATGTAAAAACACTAAAGAAGATAAATAATTGGATTATGGCATCAGAAATGGGTGTGAAGTACCTTAAATAAATGGAAGATTGTAAATTTACTCTAACTATAAGTTGACTTAAAATGAGCAGTTGAAAAAGAGAAAATAGCAGAATTAACACTACTTCATGAAGTTAACTTATTTCAAAAAATTAGAATAATTTCAATTTCAAATAAAACTATAGAATGATCATATTTATAACTTTCAAATTCATAATATTTTGATAAATAATAATTTATGCATTAAGGTATTTAGTTATTTTTTAATTAGATTACGCTTATATGAAAATTACATATTGATTAAAATTAGTTCTGAAATGAAAAAAAATTTTTCAAATTATATTATTCTGAAGATAAGTTTGCATAATTTATTGAATTAGAAGGGCAATAGATAGATATAAATAAATAAATTGATAAAATTAATCTTAAAATATTTAAAATTGAGTTAAAATGCTAATTATACATATTGATATTAATGATGAATAATGAATAAATATATTATAATGTTTTGAGAGCTGAGAAGATTATTTTGATTAATTCAACATGGAAAACATTTAGTCTAAGAATTAATTTAATAAAGTCTATTTTAATTTGATGAAAAGTAACTACAAATGGATTTCTATTAATTAAAATAATTTATTTAAGAAGTGCTGCTAAGACTTAATGAGATATAAATAATAGATTAGCAGATTTAGAGGACTGATTAATTAAATTCCAATATATAAATTCGTTTACTAAAGAAATATTATGAAAAATATTCTGCTGTGCAAAGATTGATTTCTTGTGAATTATCTTATGAATTTTGCAATCTATCTGATCATTTGCTATTTTCTTGCAAAATTGATATTTTACAACAATCCCAAATTTGATGACTATCACAATTTTAAAGTAGTAAAAAGATAAGATTAATCAATTATTATAAGAAATAGAATTTTGGAAAAAGAGATATTAATAATTAGATTTAGATGGAATAAAAGGTATGGAAGAATTTAAGAAGAGTAGTGAAACTTTAAGAAATTCATAATTTGATGAGTTAAGAAGAAGTGGATCAATGCAAGTTTAGGGATATCAAAATGAATTAAAAAACTTAAGAGTATAATTAGAAAGATTGTAATAAGAGAATAATGAGTTAAAAGATACTATTCATTAATTAGAGAGTACTAAAAATGGATAGAATTCATAATTTAAGGAAATGAGTTCTAAACTTGAAAGTTCTAATTAAGAGATTAAGAGATTAAATGATATATTACTTTAAAGAGGTAAATAAAATAAACAATTAGAATTAAGAATTAAAGAACTTGAAAGATAAGTGAGTGAAAAAAATATCTTGAAAGAAGAAATTGATAAATTAAGATAATAATTGAACGATAAAAATAATTAGTTGTAAGATTTACATAACTAAATAACACAATTGAATAATAGAATAGCAGAGTTAGACCGTTTATTATAAGAATCTAAATAATATAAAGAAAAGATTTAATAATTATAGACTGAAATAGCATAATTGAAAGCAATTATTAAGGGAAAGGAAGATTACAAATTTAACTGATTAACCTAAAGAAATAGATAAAATTATTTAAGAAAAATATGCTTTAGAAAATAAGATAGCAATGCTTGCAACAGAAATTGAAAGAAAGGGAGCTCAATTAAAAAATAAAGATAAAACTATTGATGAATTAAGAGAAAATTTAGATTAAAATAATCCTACTCTTGCAGAAGTTGAATAATTATAATAAGATATAGAATCATTACAACTGGAACTTAAAGGAATATGATTTAATTAAAGAACTTGATTAAAAGTATCATGATGCTCTTAAATATTAAGAATAAGTATCTTAATTAGAAACATAAGTATTTGATTTATAAGGAAAAGTGGCAATGCTTTCTTCTGAAATTAAAAAGTAAAGAATTAAATTAGATAAATATAAGAAAGATAATGATGGTTAATAAGATAAAATAAATTAATTAAATGATATTAAATATGATTTTGAATCAATGTAAGAAGCTTTATAAAGATACAAATCATAAGAAGATCAATAATAACATGAATATGATAGTTGGAGAGAATTATTAAAAAAGGCTGATCTTGAATCTACTGAATTATAAAAAACTTAAGAGACATTATCCAGTGAAAAACAAATAGCATAAGATTAATATGAAAAGTTGAATGAATAAATTGATGAATTGAAATAAATTACTTTAAGAAGAAAGATCTAAAATAGAAGGTTTATATAAAGAAATAGAAAAATACTAAGATTTAGAAAATAAAGTTTATGAAATGTAAAATAAAACAGCTATGCTATCAGCAGATATTGAAAGAAGAAGTGTTAAAGAAAAAACAAAATAATAATAATTTGATGAGTTATAATAACATTCAAAATAACAATAAGATGATTTAACATTAAATGAGGCTATAAAAAAAACTTAAGATGAAATTGTTACATTTGTAAAAATTATAAGATGAATACTAAGAAAAATATGAAAAAGTATTATCAGAAAGAGGAAATCAAGAAAATAAGGTAGCTATATTGTCAACTGAAATTGAAAGATAATCATATAGATTAAAAAAAAATAGAAGAATGCTCATAATTGAATGAAAAAAATTAAATATTATAAGGTGAAGTATTAAGACTTTAAGATTAACCAGCTCAAGTTGAAGATTTGACTTAATAGGTTGAAGAATTAAGACATTTATTAAATGAAGCTGATTTAAAATAAGTTAAATTAACTTAAGATTTAGATTCTGTTGCTCATGAAAAAGCATTAATTGAAGCTGAAATTTAGAAACATTAAGATGAAGCTAAATTGTAATAACAATTAACTGAAGAAGCTAAAAAATAATTGGCTAATTTCACTGAAAAATTCAAGAGTGTTGAAGATGAAAATAGTTCACTTAGAACTTTAGAATCTAAATTATCAGAATATTAAATGAAAACTGCTCTGTTGGCTTCTTAAATTGAAGCTTAAAATAAAAAATATTAAGGTAAACTAGATGAAATGGCTACTTTACAATAAAATTATAATGATCTTAAAGCTCATTAATTAGATGTAGAAGATATATAAGGAGAATTAGAAAGAACTATAACTATTTTAAATGAAAAGGATAAAGAACATGGTTTATATGATAAAAAAATTTAAGATTTAGAAGCATAAATCAAATAACTAGAAGATATTAAAGTATTCTTTCAATTAATAATATTAGTATTAACTTGAAAGTAAAATGGCTATGGTTAGTAGTGAAGTTGAAAGAGTTAAGTACAAATATGAAAAATTATAGAAGGAATATGAAGAGAATCATTAAAGATTATTAGAAGCTGAAGAACATTTAGTAGAAAATAATAAAGAGGTTTAAGCTTTAGAAGATGTAATATATATATATCTATAATTTAAAGGAATTACATTAAACTTAATAAGAATTAGCCTAAGCTAGAAAAACACAATGATTAGAAAAATGATGGATTATAAAAATACAAATAAAACAATATATTATTATCAATTTATCACTGTATTGATTTAATAAAATATTGGAGTACATTTATCTTACTCTTCTATTTATTTTTTCAAATGATGTATGTGAGATAAAATTGAAAAATCTTCATCTGATAAAATTTCAACCTACTTAAGTGGTTCAATAGTTTCTTATGCATTTTTATTATTTAAGGGAACAGAAATTTCATTCTTTTCATCTTTACTTTTTTCAGTTTATTTTAAAAATACTTTCGGAGCATTAATTGATCCTTCATTATAATCGATTTAATATGACTGATTAATCATGTGATTATTATATAATCTTATACCTATTTAATGACTATGCCGAAATGCTTATTTTGATTAGATTGATAATAATATAAATTAGATCCTGGAAATCTCATATATTTAATTAAGTATAGTCAGTTTATCTTTTGTGAAATCTTTTAGTTGTTCATAATACTTTAGAAAACCAACTTTATCTTAAATTACCTTACCATTTTTTGAAACATTAGTAATTCTACCTAAAAAATTTCTTTCAAATGAAACTTATTACATTTCTGGATAATAATAACTAATTATTGTATTTAATAATGTATCTTCTAAAATTTTAGAATTAATTTAGATAACTATTAATTTAAGCATCATTAATGTAGACATTATAGAACCTACATCAGCTAATATCTCTCCTAATTTAGGATAAATAATTTATTAGGTTTCAGATAAACTATCTACTCCTATTAAAAATAATCCAAGATATTTGCTTCCAAAACTTTATTTAAAATTGCTCTAAGGTAATTATTAAGATGTTGTTTGAAAATCACTAATTAACTTTTGATTTTTTATTGATTCTAAAAAGAAACCTGTGTCAGTTATAGATGTTTTTATTTTAATTAAGTGTAGAGAGCTGTTTCTCGATCCAAAATAAAATAAAGTTATTTGGAAATCATTTCAAATTCCTTTAATTTTGTGTTGTATTATTGCATTTATATTGTTAAGAAAAATGTGTTTAAAGGCTATATAAAAATTTTTCTTATTTTTCTTTACTTGTACAATGATCATATTAGGTATTGTCACATAATTCAAACAAAATCATTAATTATTTTTAATTCTTCGGCGAATCTTCACTCAAACCTTATTAATTAAGAACTAGAAAGGAATAATAGATGAAGAAATTCCTTTTCTAGAAGGAGGTAAAACTGTATCTAACATTAGTTATTTTTTAGTTTTAGAAATCATAATATCTTCAACATAAGAAAAATAAAGCGTAATGATATTTTCAGTTTAGAAAAAGGATCAATAAATTCATCTCCACTCATTCCCACAACTTAAAATATAATAGGATCATATTCAAATGATACATCAGCATAATTTTATGTTGATTTTTAAATTGAAACTCTAGATAATTTGTCCCCATTTAACCAAAGAAACAATTTATAAAAAAATACACTAAACTTAATGTGTATAATAAAAGCGATGTTATTCCACCAAAAGCACTTTTAAATTGCTTTTCATTCTTAAATATCTCCTATTTATAAGAAACACCAAATTAATCAAAACTTTTCAAAAAGTTCATTATTCAATTTGTTAAAATTATACTACTTATCCTTTATTAATAATGTTAATTATATATATATTACATCTTATATAAGGAAAAGAACTAAATAAAATTAATTTTTATATATTAGACCTAAATACTTATTAAATAATGCTTATTTTTTGTATCTCAAATGTATTTAAATTCTCAAAAAAAAGAATCAACGTAAATATTTTATAATTAAAAAAGTTTCTTTCTAGAAATTTAGCTTTTTGCTCAATAGTTTAAATCTATAATAGAAATGAACTAAAAAGGCTATTATAAATAAAATAATATTAATTTAAAATTATTGAAATTAATTCAAAATTTGCAATAACTTAAAATGAGTAATATCTATGCAAAGGATAATTATTTTACCTATTGATTTAGATGTTCTTAGAGATAAAAATCAAATAGTATAAATATAGCATTTAAAATAACTAAGTTTAATTAGACTATTGAAAAGACTTCCACAATCAATTACAGAATTTAAAGATGAAAATAAGGAAAAATTTGAAAAATCTTTAAAAATTATAGAACATCTGATTAAAAATTTATATAATGAAATTTAAACAAAATAAGTTATATGATTTTGATTTAGATAAAGATATTAAAACCTATCATTTTGAAAAACAAAATTTCAACTAATTGTTATTAATAAAAAATAGTTAGAAATCTTTGATAAAAAGATTGACAAATAAATTCTCTTTAATAAAAACTTAAAAATTCAAAAAATAATTAAATAAATTATAATAGGATCATATCTTTTATCTAATGGATATCAAATAAGCCTAATGTTTGTAAGACATATAATATTAAAAATATTCTAAATCATCTAAGAAAATCAAGAAAAATGATAAATTATATAATCCTAATTTTTGTGGATCAAATGATAGATTAAATCATAAATTATTTTGGAGTAAAGAGTATAGAAGAAAGAATTAATCAATTGATTCAAATCAAACATTATATTTTTTAAACATTTTTGGGTGTCATGTTGTTATATAATTTACGAAATTACTCTGTAGATGACAATAATTTTTTGTATGGATCCTCATTTGATTCTGGCTAGTTAATTATTAATCTTTTGTAATAATGCCTTTATTATAAAATCATTATTAAAAAAAATAAATAAATGAATTATCATAAAATTTCTCTACTTAAACTTAGACATTGAGATTATTTTGAATAAGATCAATTTAATAATTTATCACATATTATATATTATATAATAAACATATTTCTGTTCATGTGATATAACAAAATTTTCCACAATTTTTAACTATAAATTTTTGTAGATTATTCAATTTTTATTGTGAGATTATTTAAATAATGTTCCAATAATTTCTAAATCTTAATTTCACTATATTAACAATCTCCTTCTGTAAATCCCATATTTATCAATGTAAGAAATTGCGTCATTTTTTAGGTTATAAAATAATTAGATAGTATTTTTAAAATTAAGAAATAAGCTAATATGAAAATTTAGTAATCTCTATCATGTTCTGAATTATTTTGAATTTACTTTTAGAGAGTCAGCTTTATATATTTGACAATATAAAACAATAAAAAATATTTCAAAATGTTAAATGATTAATTTATTCATTTTTTTATTTTAAGATAAATATAGAAAATTAAAAATAAAGTTAATTTCTTGCATTTCCAGTTAAGTTATCGTTGTTATTGTTTTGATATGATTTATAAAAAGAGAATCACTGTTATCAATATAATATTAATCGATAGAATTTATTCTATAAAAATTAATTATAGTATATTTTTCTATATATTAATGAATTCATAATAAATAATTTTGCTCATCTAAAAATAAAAAAATCAATATATTTAAATGAGTTTATTTTATGTACTATTATGAGTAGAATAGTGAAACAACACAGTAGTTGATTTCATAATGTTACGAAGTTATAAATATTTTTCATACATTGATAAAAATATATAAAATAATGAATTCAAAAAAATGATCATTATTTCAAGTTATTCTCGAAAATGGTATTTTAAAGCAATTCTTCAACGTTTGAAGCTTTGCATCTATAATAAAATAAGAACTTCTTATATTATGCATCTTTAATGTCCATCATTTAAAGAAAAATTTTCTTCTTTTATGTTTTATTTAGTTCATTCATTTTTTCTCTGTATTTTTATGGAACTTTATTTATTTTTTTTTTTAAAGGCATGCCATTTTTTGGTTAAATAAGAGGAGTATCCTCATTTTTGGTATTTTTAATGTGCCTAAATTCCTTTTAATCTGATATTGAGGTAACTTAAGGGTAGTTTTGGTTAGCTAAAAAGTTATAAGCACTAAAAGTATTAAGATTGTTATTACTTTAGCATTTAATTATACATTAGTATTTGATGATGAATGTATTAAAGGTAAAGGTTTTGTTGAAAATAATTAAAAGAATGCATAAAAGAATTATTAAAAGAAAAAGATTTAGGCCTTAGAATTATATAGATAAAAATCATACGTCATATAGAAACTTACAGATAATCCTGCATTATAATAATTTATTATTATAATAATAAAAGTTGATATCTTTAAATAATATTATAATTAAAATTATAATTGAAAGAAATTACT